AGGTCTGAGTTGAAACTACTCCCACAGATGGTGTAGTGGAACAGCTGCTGGAATGTCATAGCTAGAAATACTACCTTTCAATATGATTTGTTCCAATATAGCTCTTGTCCTGCCTCACTAGCATCTGGTGTATATATCAGAATTGTAGCTAAGAACCCTATGGATCAAATATATTCCTAGCTTAAACACTTTGTCCTCAGTGAATTTGTTTTTCTTTATGTTGTTATCATGCATGCAGTACTGTCATGCTAACTCAAATGCCCTTTTTTAGTGTCTCTTTATATAGTTTTTTCATGTCTTTGCCCTGAATTTCCTTGTCCAGGCCAACCAAAAATATAATGCTAAAATACTTTAAATTGTTTTTTAAATTCCTAATCGATTTTTCCTATTCACTGCTTATTCTGCTTTCTGAGGGCATACACAGGCCCTGTTCTAGTTACAGCTCTGATCTCTTCTCTTTCTATTTCTTCCAAACTGTGTTTTTTCCATGAATTTTTCCTATTTTGCTTTTGAGAAGATGACAACAGCCTGTTGGCCAAACGTGAACCACAAAACATGGAAACCTAAAACATAAATCACTGTGTCTGTGGTACATACTCTTAAGGTAACTCAGTGATAATACTATTCCAGAAGAAGTAGCTTTGTAAGCAGAGGAACTCATGAAAACTTGTTTTCTGCAGATTTGCACATAATGGTCGATCATTTGGTGTCTAAAATGCAAATTCTAATGGTGTCTTTTCTCCTGGCCAGACGATTTATAAGGCTCTCTCCTATATGCATTGCTGATATTTAATAAGGATTGAGCTCACACTGCAGAGTTTTCTTCAGTAGGGGACTTATAAAGTCTTTCTTCCTTGCCTGGTTGCCTAACACTTTCAGAAACTTAAATATTCCTGCCCTCACTGTCGGATTTGGTTATAAATGGCCAAACGTTCTGGTTCACAAACTGTTGAAGGATGACACACATAGATAAGCACTGTTTCTCTTGGAGATTGTGCTAAAACCCTCAAACATTCAATTTCCACGTAGTCTTCCAATCTGTTAACATGTTTTCTGGCTCTGACCTTTTTATTGGGGTAGCCATAAGAAGGCTGTATGTTTTATTATGGCTGAGGGAAATGAGGCTCCATGTACACCTTGACTGCATTTGTCTGTATCTGTCTGTGCAATACAGTAGCTTCTGAAAGCTTGTCCAATCAGCTCAGGAATTTCAGGGGATCTTCTAAATATCAGTGGGGAGGACTCTGGTTGCAGTAGTGAAAATTAAATACTGGAGAAAGTCTCGTTTTTCCAAAAGTTTTGGTTACTATGGACATGAGGTAGCAATCTTGAATTTAGGATGAAAATTCAGATTAGTGAGTCCCTTATTCTTATCAGTTCAGACCTTGCTCTTGGGAGCTATTTACTTTCAACTTGGTCCTTCCTAGTGCACCTCTCGCCTTCCCTCCTCCCTCATGCTGCCAAATGCGTTACCTCTTCTACATGACATTGCAGCTGGACCCTCCTCACTTAGGTTAGAATAGTGTTGATTGAATCCAAAATCAGGAGAGTAGAAACTGCTTTTAGTGGAAAAAATTTGTTTTCTAGTTTTTAACAATCAGTAGAATTTTGTAAATAACGTTTACAAAACAAGGGTTGTGTAAATAACAGCATAAGTGTTAGACCTTCTACCATGAAGTATTTCAGTTTTGAAAATGAATGTTTTTTGATGATATGCTTTATCAAATGTCAAATGCCACTCTGCAACCTGTTTGGATTTCATTTTCTTGTAGTTCATTATAATCCTTCACAGAAGAGTATTCTGTTTGTTCAGGTTTGCAACTTCAGTAACAGCTAATGAGGAGTTTTTCGAAGACAGAAGTATATATATTTCTCCTTATATTCCAATTTAAAACTTGAAGTCACCTCAGTCTTGTAAAAACACAAAAAACCCAAACCAAGCATAGCCATACTGAGAATGGTATAATGTAATATCCTTAATAGAGAAAGGCAATTATAGTTATTTTTCACACTTTTTTTGTCATTTTGTTTGGCATCTTAAAGAACTCTCTTTTTCAATCCTGTTGGGTGAGTTTTAAAAGGATTGGGGAAGCTAAGAAATTAGCAAGATCCATTCCGAAATTTATTGCAATTTCACTGATGAATCCTCCCTTCTCATGATGTTTTGAACACCAGCTTTTGAATAGTTAATGATTTAAATAATATATTATGCAATAGTTTATGGAACTAGTTTCCTAGGGTTATTGAGGGGAATGGATGGAAAAAAGAACGGGACCGTTCCCATTAAGTCCAGGTAGAAATGATTTATTATTCTACAACTTTATTTTTAAGTTCAGCAACAAAATTGAAAAATGCGTTCATTTTGAAAGTTGAAAGGTTCTAGTGCTTGAATAAAATATTTTCATTTCAGACCCGTGTGTATGTGTTTGGTGTTTTTTGTTTTGCTTTTTAATTCTGGTACCCAGTAATATTTCTATGTCTGTTTATTTGAAAGACAGAAGTGGTGTTGCTGCAAGAGATCACAATGTTCTTATTGGGATAAGAGCCCCCGTTCTGTCTTCCTTATAACAGCTCATTTTGTCCTTTTTCAATATAGTAATTTTAGTGCTTTGGAACTTTATGGTATTTATTCTGAATAACAGTTTCATATTTCCAAGCACAGTTTGTAACTGCCAGGAAAAATAAACATGAATTTTCAGTTCTTTCAGAGCAACTGTAACTAGGGTTATTTTATATTGGGGCAAAACTAAGAAATCAGAAAATAAAGTTTGGCCTGGTAGTTCCAGGGCATCCTGAAATATTGTTTTAACAAGCTATATTTAAAGTGCTGAAGATTATTAAATCATGAAATGATTAATATTTAGTTGACAATTTTTGAAAAGATGTTTTCTTTCGTCTAAGTATGATTTCTTTCAATTCAACCCAACATTTCCAGATACCTTTTTTCTCTTCTGTAACACAAGATATATAATTATTCTTTAACCTAAACTGTTTGCAGTTTTTCAACTTTTTGATTTTTCATAAATCATTGTTGCAATCCTTATATAACTGTTAATAATTGCAAGAAAGGCAAAAGTGTATTTTAAGCTCAATGCACAAACGCATAACTGCTCTTTCAGCTGCCACCTGTTTTCCATCTTTCCTGTCTCCAAAACAACTTATATTTGTTGCTTTGCACTTATTTCTTTAGCTGTATTATGACTGTCCTCTGATCTAGTCTTGATTCTGATTATCTCCTCTCAAACATATTTCTGCTGTGATTCAAGAGCAGGGTAGAACCTGTCACGGTCTGAGATCTGTACCAATAAGGAGATGTTTACGTATGCCCTACTGAAATGTCTCAGCTTCTCGGGTAGGTCTGGCTGGTTTATTTACTCACTATCGTTCCTACAACACAAGGCACAACACATTATGTTGGTATAGTTGTGCTTGAAATAATCATGAGATCAAACTCAACTTCTCCCTTCTTTTCCTCCTTTCATCTCCTTTGTCATGTCCTAGAACGCCTCATCGCTGGTGTAGGCTTGTGTCTGATCAGCTTGGGCTAGAGGGTAGACAGAAAAGCCAGTTCGTATGTACTCTCAGGGACGTCTTTCTACAAATCTTGGGACTCCTACTGCGTTCTTCCTCTTTGACTCTTCTGTTGCTTTGATGCTTCATCATACTGGCCTTTGGAAATTTTGTCATCTTCTACTCATCTGACTCCCATGGTTAGCTGGTCAGCCTGCAGCATGTTTTGTTCTCCTTTTCTTTATTTCTTGTGGTCCAGCCTTGCCATTTGCCATCTCTTTGTATTATTTAAGTGATATTATCTAGCTGCATGGTTTCAAATATCGTCCCTATTCTCCTTGAACGTCCAGATTCAAAACGGCTGACTTGTGCATGTAGCTGGTCATGATTATTGCTTTCCTACAGTCTTCCCTGCTTTCATTTCATAGGAAATTGATAGAAAGCAGAAGACCATGAACTCTTCAAACAATTGTTTAGTTTTTAAGGTTTGTACGCTGCCTAGCTTGATAAGTTAGGCCAACGGTGCAGCCTCTTTGGGTACTGGTGATATATCAGTTAGTAAGAATAATGTGATGTAGAGTCTTCCAAAAAGGACTTGCTGTTGAATAGAAGTATGTATCTTTATAAATGTTCTTTTAAATGGCTAGCAATGTTATATAAGTAAGGTGCAGTTTTACTAAACAGATCCATTTCTTATGCAGGTTCAGTTCTGCATCAATTGTAAACTGAGCAATTTTTTTCTGGAAATGAAAGGGATTAAAATAACACAGGAATAACAGATATGCTGAGCAGCATGTATATGTAAAAGAGCACACCTATCTCCTCCTTTTTATTAAACTTTGCTCAGATATTTGCTTACTAAAAAATATATTTCTCAATAGAAGAAACGGTCTTTCAGTTAGATGCCCCTTATGTAGTCTGTGTGTACTTGGTTTTTTTAATCTGTGGTGAGTACCTCATACCTAGCAAACGGGTTATATTTTCCACAGCACTCATGTGCCACGTACACTACATCACAAGAATAATTCAAATGAGTAAGGGAATAATTATTGTGAAGACTGGTGGATTACATCACTCTATTGACTTTTCACTTTTCAGCTTGCCTATTTAACTGGATATAAGTTATCAAAAAACATAGTGAATTACATTTTTTGGCTCGAGCAATGAGATATTCATTAAGGAAATAATTTTATAAAACACAGAACAATTCTTTTTATTTTAAATTAATATATTAAACATAATTCAGAGGGGTTTTTTTTGAGTGAGATTTCCCGTAAGCAAAAGTAATCTTATAGCTTGATTTCATTTTGCTAATGTAGAATTTTGTGCTTATTACTTGATAAAGCAATAACATCTTCTGATCATGAATGTGGCACAACAGTAAACCAGTTTAAATTAGTCAGAACTACTATTTTTAAGAGTCATTCAATTTTTTAATTTTTATTCAACTTGTTTCTTATGTGCAATCTTTCCATTTTTTCTTCTTCTAGATGTCCCGGGATGAGACTGTATGTAAATACTGTGGAGTCAGCTATTTGATACTTCATGAATTTAAGGTGATGGAAGAAAAAGTAAAAGCAATGGAAAAGGAGATTAAATTTTATGAAGGAAGTATAGAACGGGAAAAAAGACTTCAAGAAGAATTGCAGACTCTTTGCCAAGACCTCGAACACAGTCGAGCTGACAGTTGGTCAAAAACAGAAAGGTTAGAGTATGTTATTTAGTCTGATATTATTTTCATGTATACATACTAGTTAATTTCATTCCAAATAAGCTTTGTTTGTCTGTTGACAGGTGTAACATATCTACCATATACTTAATTTAAACCATATTTTGAAGTATTCTCTAGAAGCAAATCTTGAATTTCTGAGTAGTTACAATCAACATATTTAACAAAAAACTGGAAGGTATTGCAGAGGTATTTCCCTCCCACCAGAAAGGGGTGGGGGAATGATCAAATATTTCATCATACAAATATTTTTGTTACAGAATGGTAATTATTTAAATGAAACTTGAGAGTATCAGGAGTTTCACAGTTTTGAAATCTGTACTTAGTGGCTCACAATGATGCAGTAATAGGGTAAAGAAATATCAGAATTCTTGGGCTGAGAGGTTTACAATTCACAATCTGGAAGGATAATATATAATATGAAAATCTCAGATACTGCTTATGGCTTTGTTCCTTAGAAACGGGGGCTTGCAAATACTTACTGATGGATTTGTGCAGGTCCTAGCTAAAGGAGGAATTTTGCACTCTTATATACTGAAGGACTGCAGTACTGATGGCTCTGAGGACTATTGATTTAGGGCACAATTATTAAAGCCATTAAGGGTGTCCTCTTTCAACTAATACTTATAGGCAAGCCTGCTTTTGTCTTCTGCTTGTTTGTCATCACATGATAACTTTAAACTTAGAGAACATGAAGTCGTACTTCCAGAAATATCTGCCCTTTTCATGGGCCTGCAGCATACCTTTGCATCTTAAAACTGCTGATTGGTGCAACAAATATAAAAGTTTGGTTTGGGGAAGACATGAAAAGCAAAGCATAGCAGGAGAGTTTCACAGCCTTTTTCTTTTCTCTGCCGTACTTTCATCATTTCTAATATTTCTCCTGTTCTTTGGGCTTGCAGTAAAGGTTGTGAAGGTACATATACCCAAACTAGCTTTAAAATATATGGCTAATTCAAGTACCATGAGTGGCGTTATTGAGGCAGTCCAAACATCAGTGGCTGCGGAACGTGGTGGTTGACTTACTTTTAAGTTTAGTGCCGCCACAATTAGAATGCCATCAATCTAAACCGCAAGCTTCCAGTTAGCGTGATTTGGCCATCCTTGGAGGTTCTTTATGCTGTATGAAGAACATGGACTGATATGGAACTTGTCATAATCAGTATGAACATGTTATGACATTGTTAGCATTTTAGGTAGTTTTTTGGTCTTATTTGTTGCTGTAGGGTTTCTGGACCAATATCTCTAATTCCTAATTAACCTTCTGTTACTTTTATGCTGGTCTTATTTGTTGCTGTAGGAATTAGAGATAGGTCCAGAAACCCTAATTAACCTTCTGTTACTTTTATGCCACTGTATGGTGCCATGACAATATAACAGATTTCATGACAAAAGATTTTTATCTTTTCAAATGTTTTCTACTGTGAAATAAGTACGAGTGTTTGGGCTTCTTCTAGTCTTTAAATTCCAAAGAACTGCTCTTCCTTTTTTCCCCTCTTATCTTCTACTGTCCATAATCAGATTTAACATGAATACTCTGTACTTTTTTTCTGTATCCTATTTTTCTTTACTCTTACTTTGAAATCTATTACTATATTCCACTCATTATTTACAGTGGGACTATAATGTGAACATTAATATTTACATTTATAAAGTATGTTTCATTAGCCAACCGTAAAAATGCAGTTGCTCAGGTTGACTACTGATAGAATAATGGGGTATAAGCAGTGGAATCAGAAGCTTCTTGGCAATTCCTTGCTCATCTGCATCAAACATTGTCAGAAGATCTTTTTAGGAATGAGATTATAATTTTAAATATCAAGTCAGTCGTCATCTTGATTCTAAAGACTCCTAACTGATATTTCTTGCATAATTAACTCATAGCCATTAGCAACTGATTTAAACTGGTAATACTGAGCATTTTTGGACATTAAGATGCTCTCTCAAAGGATTAGATTGGAATGTGTTGGAAACGTTAGAGAGGAAACATATATGGATTATCTGTAGATGAAGCACTTCATAATCTATTGAATTTTTTTGTGAATCTGTAAGAATTTAACATAAATACTACTGGAAATAGACTTTTGTTTGGACTTTGGTTCTAATAAACCTTCACTTTAAAACATAGAAATTCACACAAAGTTGAACAAAACCCATGTATATTTGGTGGATCACCCTACTCATATTGTATCTTGCACTTTTTTCCATTTAGAGCTTTGAGTATGAACTGACAGCCCCCTCCCCCCATTTTTCCATGTTTTCTTTGATTTAGCGGTCTTTTTGAAGAGTGCATTTGTTCCTTCTTTCTTCAGTGGCTCTGGGTGCCAATTACAGTAGCAGTGTTCAGTGTATTAGCACGTGCAGTGGCAGCATGTTCTTCTTGTTGAGAAGAGTCAGCTAGAGGTAGACGAAAACTTTCTTTCAGTTGACTTTTTGTAGCAAAGCTTGAACAGTTAATGAAAACTTTATCTCTGCATTTTTCCCTTAAGGCTTGGCTTGATTTAAAACCTGCTGAAATCAAATGGAATACTTCCAATAGGCTTTCATTGAGGCCATAAATCAACTATTGTGCCTTGCTAAGTAACCTGTCTAAATATTCCTTATCTGCTCTTTACTATCCTGGGCCTCTCTTGTTACCTAGTGCCTTTGGCATAAACTAACTAATCAACATACTGTCTTTCTCCTGGTTCTTGCATGGTTGGCAAATCATTCCTCCCAAACTGCAAGGTTTTTATCAGAAGCCAAATGTGTCTTTTTATCTTTGGTAGGCTGAGAGAGTTAATCTTTCTTGTTAGACGAGTCTATTTCATGTTTATATTCCCTTAAGGTTAAACTATTGCTACTGTTTGTGCCTGTGGTTAGCCTTGAAAGCCACCTGGGAGCTATGGCATGTGTGGAAATCAGCTGCTTACCTAGTGAGATTTTGTCAAAAGAGAGGGAACTGACCGTCGTGCAGAAGACTATACTGATGCAATTTAGCTATTCAAGTCTTAATCTTATGTTAGATGCTGTATTTTGTGAGAAAATACTTATTGCGTGTTAAAATCAATTTAATTCTGTAATACCCACATGAGAGCTGTTCCTCAAGAGATGTTGTGGCAAGTGTGATATGACATGGTGGCTAAAGTAGACTATGCAGGCAGTACTGCACTAGGTTCTGAAAACTGAACTGCTAGATTTTCTTTTATAAGATACTGGTAGCCATCAGCAAGAGCAATGATTTATGCTTAGTTTAGCTGAAACACTGTTGTCTCTTTTGTTTGACTGACTAAGCGTTTTCGGTCCGTTACTAATTTAAAGGTGTTAGTAGTAGACACTGTGTGGGCTTACTTCTTTAATTCATTGGAGGTACAAGTATAATCAAATTTAGCCACCTCTGTGTATGGAACTCCCACAGATTCCTGAAGTCCCTAGCTTTCAATTCATTAACAGGTTTTCTCTGGCAGTGCCTCTTGAAAATTTGTGGTGCTGATGGAGGGGTATGTTATGTTTTGCAGTCTAAATTTTGATAATTCTCATAACCTCTGAAATAAGAAACTTAAAATAGATTTAAATACTAAAGATGTCTTTTAAAGGTATAGTAGTACTGAGTAACATGAGTGTGACAAGAAGCAAACATTTTTATGATATTTAGACCCTAAAGAGGTATATAGATAACCATTTACTGCGACATATGTCACAGAGGCCTTTAAAATAGATCCCTGAAAGCTTTTACAAAATCTATCAAAAGGAATTAATGCGTTGGTGACTACCATGAGACTTGTGCTCTGGAGTAATGTGTGTAGATGTTGGAAATTTAATTTCATAAGTAATAAAATCTTAAAGATAATGTAAACCTCACATATTTTAACTTGTGGGAGCTCTATTTTTCCATGTTTTGGGGTTTTGGTTTTTTACATTTTCTTGAGTTCTACACCTTGAGTTTTAGTTCCCTACTACATGGACAAAATTTAATACCATAGAAAATGCTTTGCTGTTGAATTTGTCTAAAGTGCATTTTCTTTTTTACAGCATGATTGCTTAGGAAGGCAACAGCAACTACATGACTTGGTGAAGTCTAAACTTGTAGAAGTATATTTCTGTTGAATATTTAGTGATAAAGTGGAGTTGAGCTAGTGTCAAAATTGCTGAGAGCCAAAACCGGATGAAATAATGAAATAAAGAACTAACTTCTCCTCCTTTTCTAAATTGAATGCTATTATAAGCTTCTCATGTTAGATGTTTGTGTATGAAAATAGTCAACCTTACCAGGGCAGCTTGCTGGTATTCCATCTGTTCCTATATGTTTTAAATCATTTCTATTTGAATATACTGCTAATGGAAGCAACCTAACCTAGTATGCTACATGCATTTTTTTTCGCACTAATAAATATTCTTTTAACCTAAAGGTAGTGAGTGTTTTGCCATTAATTGTATTTTGATATGGGTGGCAGATATTTAGCTAGCAGCATTCTTTAGAGGCACTGTGATCTAAAATATCCTATGGAATAAACACTTTTTATTGCATTAAACTAATGTGACCAGAACTAATATGACTGTAACAGAAAATAGTCAGATAAACAGTGCATAACTGCAGAATGCAAAAACTGACTATAGTAGATACAAGTATTTCTTTTTTATGTTTAATTCTTTCTGTTGTAATCTGTCATCAGACTAGACAAATTTTTTTGGAAAAATATGTAATTTTTTAATGGTTATCTTTCTGATTCTTCTAGCACTGAACTTTACTTATGATACAGATTACTTATCTCTCTCTGTTTTTTTTGTTAATAAAATCTTTTTGATTAGATGATCCAGAAAGCTCTATTTATCATGACTCATTTGGTCCAGCTACTGATTCTGATTCCAGTTCCCTGGGACACTGAGAAGATATTTGTATAAACTGAGCAAAATCTATGTATTATGTACTGGTGATCTTTACCAGATGTCTGACATAAGAATTTTGGGAACATAGTTTGAAGTTTACTCCACCAATA